ATATTATTTTTGATAGTTAGTCTCGTGTTACTCTCGGCTTTTTTAGAGGAAAATAGTAATTTTACTCACCTTCCGTTTAGCCGTCAATATTTTCTCTTTTCCTTTAACTCAGTAATAAACTTTGCACTTTGCACGTCTGCGCAATAAATTGCGGTATAAAACATCCCACGATTGTATAGAGGATAGCGCCATTGTGCCATGATAATTTCAAGTTTAAACTCCCGCAGCCGGAGGTAAAAATTATGCAATTGTTTGGAAAGTGCTCCTATCAAATTCTAGCATTTCGATTGCAAAATGACTATATAATTGACGCCATTTTCAGATACGACTGACAAACTTCAGTGTATATGATGTTTTCCCGAGACTGCTAGTTGTCTAACGCTAACCAACAACTATTCACACTCGGCGAAATTTGCACACCTTGCAGCTGCTGTTTGACAGTTAGCGCACGTTTAATGATTGTGGTTATCCCTTTTCAATCAATCGAGTTGAATTCTTTTGTAATTTCTTGATGAAGACCGGCAAACAGACTACCCTTCACTTCAGTGTGTCTGATATAAATCTTTATTCTTTTGTCGTAATACGGAGCTGTTTATTTTAAGCTTCATAAACATCATAAACGCCGTATTATTCCCATCCATTATAAAGTTCTGGGACCCCCCTCACTAGCTGTGTTGGTGACTGCATGAGACGGTGAGACTCAGTAAAATGACGCCTAAAAAGTACAAGGATATTTTAAGAGGTACAATTTCCAGAGACTTATAATAATAAATAAACATGAAATAAACGTGTTTAGGTACAGGAGGGGTCAATCTTAAAATTATTCACTCTATTGATATGTCAGTAACTTGCACACAAAGAGCACGAAAGGGAATTTAAATAATTCAAGTGGATAGACCTTAAATCCAAATGTGTTTGCTAAATCTTCGGAAAAAAGCTAACACGTAAACTAAGGACAAACTGAGTCCTTATCCATAGCACGTGGCATTACAACAACGGTATATACAAATGCCTTTCAATTTACCGTTTGACCAAAAAGAGGTTACGTAGTCTGCTTTTATACCACGTGACCCAAGGCGTCTGGTCAATCGAGTTACACGACTGAAGAGAGGCCGAATCACTTTTAATCCCAGCTTCTAATGTATCTGTACGTGAAATGAAACTCGGTGAAGCTTACAAAATGATTACCACGGCAAAATGTA